GATCAAGACCCGAACACGCTAGACCTGAAAATAAAAGTAACGTCAAGACTTTTTATAAATATATTTTTTGTAGGTTATTAACTATCTTTACACTCCGTTCAATAACTTGTTTACTATTTTCGTATCCATATTTTTGGTCCTCCACAGAGCAAATGATCTCATAATGTGTTAATAGGACTCACTTCTGCTGTATATAAGGTGTTGCAAGCCACAACGGCTTTGTAGAGAATGCTATTCCACGAGATCTCTGGTTATACTCAGGGGATTGGGCTATTGAACACAGCTAGGAAGCTTCCGCGACTGTAATCTGTAGAGAACATGGAGCAGTTCCAAATAAGTCATGTTCCATAGTTAGCCCAGCTTTAAATATGAATAAAACTACCATGACATACCATCAAAATGCAGTAGATTATAAGCACATTGATGCAGAAAAGACTACGAAGAAAAGGAATAAGCGTGCGCAAAGGGGACATTACAAGGAGCTCCAGAAATTAAGTCACCAGATACAGCCTTAGAATGCTACATGAACCCAACGGTTTCGCCACAGCCTGACCTGCACAATGTAAGAGATTTGTCTAAAAATCAAAATAGAGTCAGTGATTAGCCAAATTTAGCATCTAAAAAACCAAAACGGGGACCCACAGATTTTTTGGCGAACTGGACCGCGGGGAAGAATCTAAATTCAAGAAATGAAACTTCAGTCATATTTGAAAAGCTAAAGAATCCCCCTGAAAAGGATCCGAAGGCTAGTTTGAAGCATGATCTAAACCATATTAATCCACTAATAAACAAACTATGCTTCCACTGAGCAAATATCTGCTATTGGGAGGCACAAAAACTAAATGAGTCCGGGATCTATCCGCGCTAACGTAAGTCTGGCTGATCTTATTAAAAGACGATCTGGAGAGGCAGAATTTAATGGTCGTGAAAACGGCAAGGAAATCATGTCATCACGTCAAAATACGGTGCAAAAGGACCCCCGAAACACTCTGGATGGCGTGGAGAAGCATTTCGCAGAACTGGCGGTTTGATATGCAAACGCTTACAGCCTACCAAATAAATAGAGGGACTGAAAAACGTTGTGGACACAAAAACCCTAAATTAATTGCCGTCCCCGAAACATGGCTAACGTCAGTAGTGTGTGATATTAAAATTCAGTTGTTTGGTTCCGACAGATTAAACCGTAGGGAAGTTGGCGTCATCTTGTCCTTAAAGGAAACGTTAGCCATACGAGCTGTCAAAACAGTGACACATGACTCAGGGACACGTAAGTTGGTGCATTTTCGGAAGCTTGTGAGCGTTTCTCAACAATAAAGCAAGCTTCATGATTTAGATGAGAATCGATCTGAAGAGTCCTCTCTGTGGACTGTCAGCTTAAAATTGTTCTTCTGTTCCTTAAAACTTATGAATACTGACATTAACTGCGGTTGCTAGTAATAGTCGGTGATTAGAGACTTCTTATGCTCTTGACGATCCCAAAACCTTGTTTTATACTTTTTAGTTGATTTTCCCGATTTATGGAAAACGTCTTATCTTTCCGAGATCTGGTGCAGTAGGAAGTGATTAACTTGACTAAATTGTTGCACTCGTTGATTTCTAAAGTTGAGCTACACTTGTTCCTGACAAATTTACTTTCATAATAGTTTTCCAACCGGAAACTTTACGACTTTTACTTAGCTTGCTGTTTCTCTCAGATGTCTTCGAACGCTCCTACGTATGAATTTCTCTATGTGAGCACCTTTCGGGCTGCTCTTTTTTTGAATATTTTTCAAGGTATGATGACATGATACGGAAGTTGATTTCGAGATGAGGTCTAAAGAAACACTAAACTTAGTTCTGACTAACTTCAGACTACCTTGTTTCGAAAAGAAACTCCAAGAAAGGACGCTTTATTAACTGCAAAACATTTACTGGAAGGGACACGAAGCAATGACTTCGTCCGTTTCCACCGTCTAATGCTGAAATCACATTAAACAGTACAAATTTTGTGTCGCTACTGTACACCGCTGGTACTTGCCGGAGCTAAAAGAGTAATTTTCTAGTGGCTCAATCGTTGATCATATTCAAATCATACTGAAATCACTCGCACGTACCGGCTTACTTGGTAGATCGTCCATCGACAATAGAAGTGGTCAAAAGGCTATTGATGTGGATTCACATTTTCAACCATTATTGTCAATGATAAAAACATACAAGACAAGTGGAATTTTGTTGTACTCCCTTTTGTCGTAAATCTACACCTATGATGTAGTACTTTATTATTTATTTTACTTGAACGAAAACATTGGTACAAGGAGGCATTTCATTAGGATTATTCATACTTCTCAATTTAATGAATTTTTATAGACACTTAAAATCATGAGTGACTGGCTCCATGAGGTTTTTCCTAGGGTTCTAGTGAGCAGCAGTAACCAGTGGAGTTCAACCAGGTCTGTTGTGAGATATCAACTCACTGAAGACATTGGTGAAATGGTTGCTCAACTTCGTGGATTAGTTGAAGTTAGACATTAACACCGTTAAATGCCGGCTCAGTGGTCTATCGGTCAAGTGCTCCGGCGCGAGACTGGTAGATCCTGGGTTCGAATCTCGCGAGACGGGATCGTGGATGCGAACTGTTGAGGAGTCCCAAAATAGGACGAAACGGCCATCCGGTGCTTCCAGGTTTCCCACGGTGGTCTAGCTTCAATTGACTAATGATTTCAACTATATATAAAAACTACTTAAAATTTCCACAGAAAACCCCATTAATGAATTTTCGTTTATTTTCAAGGATGTCAGCAGAAGATTGTGAGAATGAATTGCTTGCATTGGAATCCATTTATGAAGATAAGTACCAACTTGTACAAACTACACCTAGACGAAAAATAAAAGTAAATCTAAATGGTCAGGCCGATGATTCACTATCAACTAAAGTTCGATGTCAGCTTCTTTTTGAACTTCCAAGCAGCTATCCAAATAAAGCACCTAAATATCAAATACTTAAACCTGGAAATCTTTCAGATGAAGATATCTTCGATATAAATATTATAATCAATGAAGTAATTGAACGATCTCTAGGATTCGTAATGTTATTTGATATATTAACAGAAGTTCAACAAAAATTAGATAGTATTTGTGCCAAAATCTTAATTCGTCAGCGTAATGAAGCTAAAGAAAAACGAAAAGCTATGCAACTAGAAGAAGAAGCAAAATTCCGTGGTGATAGAGTTACAGTGGAATCATTTCTAGAATGGAATACAAAATTCCTTGCAGAAATGGAATCATTAAAAGAGAAGTTAATACCTGAAGATCAAAGTGCTGTCAAACGACCAACTGGACGTGAGCTATTTTTGAGAGATAATCATTATGACGATTCCGATTTGACCTTTTTGGAAACTAATGGTGGTGAGGTGGTAGAAATTGATGAACATTTATTTGTTGATATTGGTGATATAGACCTGGATGATGATGATAATGACGATAGTAATCAAGTAGTTGTGACACAAACAGCCTGAACATAGTACATACTTTGTAAAAATTAATTTACTTCAAACGTATCATTGCTTTTATTTTAACAGTTCTGTTCTAGTATGTAAAGACAACGGTAAACAAAGTTGGAAATAGACTTCTATGACTGGATTCTAAAAGTGTAGCTTCCTGATTTCACAAACTTGACGGTATATTTATTAAGTATCATACAAATTCAGTGACAATAAATAGTTAAGATAACTTGCAAAGCTTTAGCTTCGTGTTCTAAAGCCTAGGATAATTATTTAGATAAAAGTATACAACTTGGAAACCAGAAGCGAGTTCGTTCTCATAGTTGACAATTTTTTTAAACATATATGTTCACTGCATAAATCCCCGTTGCTGAGGCGAGATTCAATATATACTGGTGTACAACACCTAGTATTCTCAGAACTGTAGTACATGGGTTCAACATTAACTGATTTGCTTAAGTATCCGGGTAATATTTTTAGTTTTCCTACATCTGTGTGCTTATTCCTAAGGATTTTTTTGGATTTCGGGAAGATAGTACTCCTCGAACCTTTTAATGTCCTCTAACTATGACGTTCCTAATTAAAATGTAGTTGTAAGCTTATTCCGTCAATAAAGACGCCCCAACCATGCGTTCGATAATCGTTGTCTCCGAAGGATTGCTGACATCCAGTGGCAACACCATATTAGTAATGCAGAAGTTCGGCATCATGTGTTCGGGCGCAGAGACGATAATTCAATTGGTGTCACCAACTTCAGTGGCTTGGACATGTTCTACGAATGTCGTCCCAGAGACTTCCACGTCGTGCATTATTTGCCGACGCTGGGACTGGTTGGAAGTAGTGGAGAGGTGGTCAGTGTATGACATGGTGTCGTGGCATGAAGGAAAAATGCAAAGGGCTGGCTTCTATTGGTCCTTCACGACTCCCTGGCTGGGGTCCGAGAGATGGTGCAACACAGTGGCTAGAGACGTTGTCAGATATGGCTCAGAATAGAAGCCAGTGGCGAGCCTGCTGCAACCTTCTTTTACTTTCTTCATTAAGAGTAGTCATAACCTCCTTAACTGAAAAAGTTCTTCTGGTTGAAAATTTCAGTTCCCCCTATCACTGTTCTATTTTTTTCTTCCTTTATATATACGCATCTTCCCCCTTTCTCCTCCCATTCTCATTATTTTGTGTGGCGCATATATATCTGGTGCCCTTTGTACCAATATGTGTGTTTAAATAAACCATGCCAGCTATTACCCCTTGCATTTAAATAATGATTTTCACTGTTTATAATAAGTAATGAAGTCATTCCTTTGCCATGTTCACTGAAACATTTAAAGTTGCTCTAGTTTTATTTCTATTGAATACTGTCTAAACTGTTAGTGTAATTATACAATAGACGTTCCAATCTTAAGAATACTAATTATTAAACGTGTCCTTATTCAAGTTGTGCAATTAGTTTAAACGGTTAAAACGTTTTCGATACAGTTATTTTGAACTTAACATCTAACAACTTTTCGTTAACAACACACTGATCAATTTGGAAGTTTTTTTACTTTTTTATTTTACGTCTTTTAACATATTTAGGAATTTTATGTTTTCGCTTTTCAGCTTGTTCTTGCTTGATTGCTTTTTTTCTATTCCTACGACTTTCTGGAGATTCATTTCGCGGTCGTGCATTATTTTTTGCTTGAGTTACATCTTTTCTAATAGACTCAGAGGAACTTTCTGAAGCTTTGTCTGTAATTGATTCATTATCCGATTCACATTCATTGTTTTCTTTCATTATTTGAGGTTGTATTATAGTGCCTGTTAAGTCTGGTTTCAGTCCAGTTATAGCTGCGTAGTATATATCAGAATGTGACAATTGTCCGCGTTGTATTTTAAGAAAATCTCTCACAAATGGATATGATACTGATAAATTTCGAGGAATATGTACATATCGGAAGGCTTCATCTTCTTTTTCAATGGTTTCATTTAATCCACGAATTGAAGCTTCTCGAAGTAAAGACATTAAACACTCTTTAGATGATGCATCATCAGGTGCAGGCAATGTAGGATTCACTACCCATTCAAAAAGTTCTCGTAATGTTAAGGTTGAAACACCTTGTTTGCGGAAAAATATATTTATATTGTGACAATCAGTTCTTAAATATTCAAGAGCTTGAGGCGATTCATGTTCCACAGCCTATAAAAAGTAAATGAACTTTACTAGTGAAAGATATAAACAACTTTTACTCTAAAGATATTTGTGTATTTCTACTAAAAACTAACGTTATCTGCCTTGGAAGGCGAACGACTGTAGATCAGCGGACAGTAAGTAGCATTAAATAAACTTAGTTGTAGTGGGGAATATATAATAATTCGCTGTCTCTCTCTAGAATTTGTCATGTATGCGTCTACGGTGGTACTAATGGGCGCTTGATGTGCAAGCAGGGTTGCCTTAGCGATATGTTCCTTAACTGTGGAGAATGCTTTTTGAGCGGTGTCGTCTAGACTAATTGATTTTGCATTTCCACGAAGTTGGTCGGTTAACGGTTTCATAAGAGATGCGCATTTAGGTATGAACCGCCTGTAGAAACTTACAAGGCCGTTGAAAGTTCGCAACTGCTTAATCGTGGTCGGTTCTTGGTAATCCAGAATGGCCGCCACTTTGCTTCTAAGGGGTCGGATGACTTGAGCATCAATAGTGTGTCCTAAGGAGTTGGTTCCGATTCGGCATTTCTGAATGTCTACAGTAATGCCATGCCTTTGGAGTCGTTCGAAAACAATGTCCAGATGCTGGAGATGTGATTCTCTGTCCGGACTTGCTATGAGACAGTCATCAACATACACATGTACGAAGCTGAGACCTCGGAATACGTCGTCTATAAACCTTTGGAAGATTTGGGCCGCATTTCTTAGGCCGAAAGGAGTGATGATGGCAGTTTTTGGAATGTCGTCGGTTGCCATCGGTATTTGATTATAAGCCTTAACTAAGTCGATTTTCGAAAAGACAGTTGTACCTTCCAAGGTAACTGTCAAATCGTGAATTTGAGGCAACGGGTAACGATCGGGAATCGTTTTAGCATTCAGACGCCGATAATCACCAGCTGGCTGCCAATCGTTGCTGTCCTTTTTAGGGACCATGTGCAATGGGGATGACTATGGACTATTTGATGGTCGAATTATCCCTAAGTCTATCATATTGTCGAATTCGTTTTTAGCCAACCTAAGCTTTTTGGGAGCCAGTCGGCGGGCTTTCGAGAATACAGGTGGTCCTGTAGTTGAGATGTGATGTGTAACATTGCTGGTTACACTAGGCGATTTCGGTTGCGGTTGGTATATCCCGGAGTATTTGTCGAGTAATGATTGATATAGGGGGTCTATGGTGTGCTTAATTGTGACAGGATAGTAGACGGAAACACTAAGTTATGTTTGCGTAACTCCTTTTTCTGGTGGCAGATTATCCCCAGTCTATGGTGTGCTTAATTTTGAACATAAGGAACATATCGCTAAGGCAACCCTGCTTGCACATCAAGACACTCAAGTGCCCATTAGTACCGCCGTAGACGCATCCGACTCAGCAATCGGAGGAGTCTTACAACAATGGGTTAACCACTCTTGGCAACCTTTAGGATTTTTCTCGAGACAGTTGCTAGACACTGAATCAAAGTACAGCACGTTCGGTATGGAACTCGTAGCTGTATGGCATTTTCAACACTCTATCGAAGGCAGAGAATTCACCCTTTTTACCGATCTTAAACCTCTTACTTTCGCTTTAAGCTCATCCTCAGACAAGTACTCACTTCGAGAGTCTCGACAACTGGACTAAATTTCACAGTTTACTTCAGATATACCATACATTTCTGGAGCAAACAATGTAGTTGCAGACGCCTTGTCTCGTATAACTTCTTTGAACAGTTTCCAAGGCATTGACCCTCTGAAACTCGCCCAGCTTCAAAATGAGACACTGATCTTCAGCACGAGTTATTCTCAACAACCCTTAAACTGCGCATTAAACAGATGGGAACAGGTAGGGATCGCCCAATCGTGCCAAAACATTATCGACGCAACGCCTTCAATACGTTGTACAAACTTTCTCATCCAGGTGTGCGTGCATCCGTCAAGCTTATAGCAGAACGGTTTTGCTGGCCTGGTATGAACAAAGACGTGAAAAAATGGGCACGCTTCTGCGTAAGTTGCCGTTAACGCGTGCTGGCTGGGAAGTTTTTCGTGTCGGTGGATTTTGAGTCCGGATAATTGTAGGGTTTTCTGCAATTTCTGGAGGAGTTTCCATACTGGTTATGATACCAGCACCAGTCGGTGTTATCCGTCTCTCGTGGTGTAGAGACAGATCGCCTACGTGAAGTGTTTCTTCGAGGAGTGTGTGACCATTCATGGTCATTATGAAATCGAAGGAAACGTATGACACAGATCCGAAATGTCATTCTGTCTCTCTTGAGGTTTTTCTTGGACTGAGGATACCTCGGCGTTAGAGGCCTTCGTGATTTCAAGTATGCGGTCGGCAGATGAAGCCAGCTCGTCTATGCCGTTATTTTGAAACGAGACGAGGACTGCTTGCACGTGTTGTGGAAGTTTAGATAAGAACAGTTGTTTGAATAGGTCTTCATCGAAAGTTCTTTGGCCAATAACTTATCTCATCCTTAGCAACATATCTGTCGCGGAGCCATGTTGCAGGTCGATACTATCAAGGAGTTGATCTAACCTTTTCCGATCGGTTAGATCTCCGCGTTTAAGAATCAACCATTTCAGAGTTACGTAAGGTCCCAAAACATCACTAGTAAACATACTAGGTGTTACGTACCTGTTGAACTCGCGCGATAGTCTTTACAACCGCGAGGAACTGTGTGTGTGAATCAGTAATGCCGTGATCGTGGAAGTCGGCTTCTGTGTAGCAGAACCAGGCTTCGATATTGTCCGGTCAAAATGGCATTAGTTGAAAAGAGGGTGGTGTAGGAGTCTTAATCTTAAGGAGCCTGGGAGTCTGATCTGTCATGGCGAGTTTAATGTATAGGAATGAACGAGGAAAAAAATTACCCCAAAATACGAAAAATCTATCACAATATATAAAAAAATAAAACAGAGCAATGATTTATGAAGTTCCAAAAAGGAACGGACTCACAGTTGATTGTTTGGTGTACCAGATCACGTCGGTCTCACCACTGAAGATACCACCGGTATTGTAGTTTGACAATACTTTACCAGTCCCGACCGTTGCTGCTACCTTGACGTGGTGGTCGGGCTTGCCTATCGTGATGAAGCAATCGAGCTATGCTGGCTGGAACAATCGTTCCTCGAGGTCCTACCATGCCAGACAGGTCGGTTGAAGAGCGGTGAGAATAAAAGCAGCAAACCCAAGGTCCGAAGTCGTACTGCCGACCGTACAGAGGTGTGACGGCAGTAAGGTGTTTCCTTCAGACAACCAGCATGACAGCGATGCTGCCTTCCCACAAGGAGGGGTGGGGTTAGAAAAGGTCGACCCTAAAAATGCACTCCTCGCCTTACCCCACGGATATCCGTCTCCGGCGGTAAGGTCCTTTGAAGAACGGAGCTAACACAAAAACTACCCACAAAAAGTTCGTGTGTGACCGACCTCAAGCAGTTGTCCCTTGGGCACTGCGGTCACGCTCTCAGGTCATTAAGACCACTTCTAACCCAATTTCCTTTTCAGGTACCTCTAGAAGAACCCTTCCACGGTGTGGGCAACCGGGAAGTGATAACAGCACTCAAGACCACTGTATTCATTATCAATCTCCTTCTTCAATTCCTACTATTCCTTCTACCTTGACTTTCAACACTAAACTTCCTGTTCCGATTTCCTCCTCAAGTGTCACCATGGCCAACGATTCTAGTGCGCGAAACGCTGTCCCAGGTCTACTAAAACCTCGCTCCAAACTACACATTGGAGCCTTCAACGAACGTACCCTATGCCAAATCGGTCAACAGGCCTCCTTAGCTAAAACCCTAGAATCTCGTACCATTGATGTATGCTGTGTCTCCGAAACACGCATACAGGATCCCAGTGTGGTCATTCACTTGACCTCACCTCGCCAAAATGGACAGCCAACGAAATACACCCTCCGTGTATCTGGCGACCCGTTGGCTAGTTCTCGCGGACTTGCAGGTGTAGGCATAGCACTAAGTACAAGGGCAGAACAGGCACTACTAGAATGGATCCCCGTTAACAGTCGCCTGTGTGCTGTCCGGCTAAATGGCTCCATAAGAACTCGGAAGGATAGGGACACACGTCGTTGCCTTTTCGTCGTTTCTGCCTACGCTCCCACCGACTGCAGCCATGATGAAGTGAAAGATGACTTTTACAGAAAGCTCTCTGAGCTTCTTCAGAAAGCTAAGCGCTCAGACATAGTAGTCGTAGCGGGTGACTTTAATACCCAGGTAGGCAGCTTGAATCAAACAGAAAGACATTTAGGTGGGTGTTTTAGTATTCCGGCTCAACGAACCGATAATGGTGATCGTCTGTTGCAACTATGCTCAGACAATCGTTTATTTTTAGCAAGCACTAGTTTTAAACATAAGGAGAGAAATCGTCTAACATGGCGACCACCTGCACCAAACCAACGATGGACTCAAATAGACCATATTGTCATCAGTCATCGTTGGAGAGGCTCAATAGAAGATTGTCGCTCGTATTGGAATACTTGTTTAGACTCTGATCACGCTTTAATACGAGCACGCATTTGTCTGCGCTTCAATGGACGCAGGAAAAGTACACTAAGAAGACCCATTAGGATTGAACTGGAGGACGAGAAAGCCAAATGCGAATTCCAGAAACAACTGAGTTCACATCTAGGCAGTTCTGTAAACAAGACTGACACAGATACTGCTTGGAAAGACATACGAACAACTGTGGAAACAGCAGTAACATCTATTAGTCATTTAAACCATAGGGCTCCAAAAAACCAATGGATTTCTTCTAAGTCTATTTCACTGATGGATTCGCGTAAACTCATCCCATCAGGCTCTGAACATGACGAAGAGCGTAAAGAAATTAGATCTACGTTAACTAAAAGTCTAAGGAACGATCGTGAGCAGTGGTGGGCAACGAAAGCAAAAGAGATGGAAAAGGCAGCGGCTGTAGGGAACACCAGGCGACTATTTAGACTAATAAAAGAAACCGGAATTAAGAAGTCAAGTGTAAGTGAGACAATCTCCGAAAAAGACGGA